CTGGCTGGGGATGACATCACAGCATGCGTCATACACTCCCCTCTCAAGTGACTGCTAAATCAGGATTATATAGAGGTAAATCTACAGACATTCAAGGGGTTTGATTTATGGAATTCTATATGTCAGCTAGGTGCCTTGATAAGGTTTACTTGAAAATGGGTGCAGTATATGTTAGATTTACAGAAACCGATACAGATAAGTGGATACTGAACCATACCATACTGAACCCCTAGTCTCCCGAGTGGCACAGTGGTCTAAGGCACTGCATCGCAGTGTTAGCTGTGCCACTAGAGATCCTGGTTCGAATCCAGGCTCTGTTGTAGCCGGCCGCGACCGGGAGACCCATGGGGCGGTGCACAATTGGCCCAGCATCGTCCAGAGTAGGGGAGGGAATGGCCGGCAGGGATGTACCTTAGTTGGTAGAGCAAGGCGTTTGCAACGCCAGGGTTGTGGGTTCGCACTCACTAACTGTAAGTCGCTCTGGATAAGAGCGTCTGCAAAATGACAAAAATGTAAATGTAAATGTATGTACAGGTACGCATCTTTTTTCATTGGCCTCTGAGATCGGTTTGGTTTCCATTTCAAAGTGAACCTGTACAATACAGTACCATATAGAAAATAAATAGATGAATACATGCCATATGACCTTAACACAAATTGACGTTTACAAAATTGCTGTTTGATTATCACCCCCGCCCCCCCCCCCCCCTAAAAATACCCATGCTCCCTTTCTGTTTTGAAGTGATGCTTGCCGATCAGGATAGAGCTTGTGATGAGTGTGATTAGAAGGAGTCAGGCGCAGGAGGGTAAATCACTGAATACAGAGTTTATTCCGTCGTACACAGTTGCGCTGGATAGCGTCCCACGTCTCCTCCGCGTGCCGAAACCAGTCATCCACCGCAGGAGCCTCGGTCTGGCTCTGGTGCCACGGTGCCAGAACCGGTTGGTAACCTAAAACACATTGGAATGGCGTTAGGTTAGTAGAGGAGTGGCGGAGAGAGTTCTGGGCATATTCTGCCCATGGCAAGAACACCGACCACTCCCCCGGCCGGTCCTGACAGTAGGTCCGCAGGAACCTACCCACATCCTGATTTACCCGTTTCACCTGCCCATTAGACTCGGGGTGGAACCCAGAGGTCAGGCTGACCGAGACCCCCAGAAGTTCCATGAACGCCTTCCAGACCTTGGATGTGAACTTGGGACCTCGTCAGACACTATATCCTCTGGTACCCCGTAGTTTCGGAAGACGTCTGTAAACAGGGCCTCCGCAGTTTGCAGAGCCGTGGGGAGACCGGGCAGAGGAAGGAGGCGGCAGGCCTTGGAAAAGCGGTCCACAATGACCAGGATGGTGGTGTTAGCTTGGGAGAGGGGAATATCAGTCAGGAAATCAACACTTAGGTGAGACCATGGTCGTTGTGGAACTGGTAAAGGTTGTAACTTACCCGCTGGGAGGTGCCTAGGTGCCTTACTCTGGGCGCACACCGAGCAGGAGGAGACATACACCCTTACGTCCTTAGCCAAGGTAGGCCACCAGTACTTTCCGGTCAGGCAGCGCACTGTATGACCGATACCTGGGTGACCAGAGGAGAGTGACATGTGTGCCCAGTAGATCAGACGATCACGGATAAGAGCAGGCACGTACCGTAGCCCAGCTGGACACTGAGGTGGAGATGGATCTGTGCGTAATTCCTGCTCTATATCCGCGTCCATCGCCCATACTACCGGCACCACAATGCAGGAGGCCGGGAGTATGGGGGTGTTGCCTCTGGGCCTCTCCTCTGTGTCATACAGTCGTGACAATGCGTCTGCCTTCACGTTCTTCGTACCCGTGATGTATGACAGTGTAAAATCGAACCGGGTGAAGAATAGGGCCCACCTGGCCTGGCGAGGATTCAGCCTCCTCGCTGCCCGGATCTACTCCAGGTTACGGTGGTCCGTCCAGACGAGGAAAGGGTGTTTCGCCCCTTCGAGCCAATGCCTCCACACGGTCAAGGCTCGGACAACAGCCAACAGCTCCCGATCACCAACGTCGTAATTCTGCTCCGCCGGGCTGAGCTTCTTAAAAAAGAAGGCACAGGGGCGGAGCTTGGTTGGCGTTCCCGAGCGTTGAGGCAGGACAGCGCCACCTCCACTACGAACGGTAGTGATGGATCGGGGTGGGCCGGTACCGGGACGGAGGTGAACAGACCTCGCAGTTTGCTGAAGGTCAGCCTCAGCAGACCAGCGGAGCCGGGACGGCCCACCCTTCAACAGGGATGTAATGGGAGCTGCGACCTTGCCAAATCCCTGGATAAACCTCCGATAGTAGTTGGCGAAGCCAAGGAAGCGCTGCACCTCCTTAACCGTGGTTGGAGTCGGCCAATTACGCACGGCTGAAATGCGATCCATCTCCACACCTGAGGTGGTAATGCGGTATCCGAGGAAGGAGACTCCAATCACGGTTAAGGAGGTGCAGCGCATTGACTCGATCACTGACGGAATGAAGGGGAGAGGATAACTAAATCTGATCGTCTCCTTGTTCAGTGGTCAATAATCAATGAACGGGCGCAGACCGCCGTCTTTCTTCTTCACAAAGAAGAAACTCGAGGAGGCGGGTGAAGTGGAGGGACGTATATACCCCTGGCGCAGGGACTTGGTGACGTATGTTTCCATAGCCGCCGTTTCAGCCTGCGACAAGGGGGTACACATGACTCCTGGGAGGTACAGCGTCTACCCGGAGGTTTATCGCGCAATCCCCCGCCCGATGAGGTGGTAACTTAGTAGCCTGCGTTTTTGAAAACGCGTGCGCCAAATCGAGGTATTCGGGGGGAATGCGCACGGTTGAGGTACTGTCTGGACTTTCCACCAACCCCGCGACCACCCCGTGAGAACCCTCTGCGGCCATTAGAAGGTGGGGTTTTGGAGTGCTAACCAAGGGATACCTAATACCACAGGGAAAGCAGGGGACGGCGGCTCCACCCAGCTCTCTCGGACGGTGGCTCCACCCAGGTCCATCAGCTCGTGAGCCGAGTCGGCCGAGGTGGGAACGGACAGACCCCTTCCAGGATGCCCTCTGGCTGCCAGCAGTTTGTCCTAACGGATGGCCATGTCAACCAGTTGTGTGAAGGACAACATTTTACATTACATTTTAGTTATTTAGCAGACGCTCTTATCCAGAGCGACTTAAAGGAGCAATTAGGGTTAAGTGCCTTGCTCAAGGGCACATCGACAGATTTTTCACCTAGTCGGCTCGGGGATTAGAACCAGCGACCTTTCGGTTACTGGCACAACGCTCTTAACCACTAAGCTACCTGCCGCCCCCGCAACATGTTGTCCCGTCAGGCTAGCTCCCATCGGACTTCCTCCCGCAGATGGCACCGGAAATGGTCGATCAGGGCCCGCTCGTTCCACCCGGACCCCGCTGCAAGAGTCTGAAACTCCAAAGCGAAGTCCTGCGCAGTCCTTGTCCCCTGCTTCAGGTGGACCAGCCGCTCGCCCGCCTCTCGACCTTCGGGCGGGTGATCGAAGAAACCCCGAAAGAGGCGAGCGAACTCCCCGTAGTTCTCCAACGCGGCTCTTCCTTCGTTCCAAATCGCGTTGGCCCACTCCAGGGCTTTCCCCGAGAGGCAGGAAATGAGTACGGACACCTTCTCCCGCTCCGATGGGGCCGGCCTGATGCTGGAGAAGTAGAGCTCCAGTTGGAGGAGGAATCCTTGGCAGAGCGCCGCCGTCCCGTCGAACTCCTGTGGTCGGGATATCTGGATCCCTCCGGGTGCTAGGGTGTGGGTGGCTGGATCCGGTTGGCCAGCTGGTCTCGATCCATCGCTTCCCCCAAGCTGGCCAGCATCGTGGAATGCTCCTGGACCCGTGCCACGACTCCAGGCATGCACTCCTCTCCCGCTGACTCCATAGCGGGTGGGTGATTCAGTGATGAGTGTGATTGGAAGGAGTCAGGCGCAGGAGGGTAAATCACCAAATACAGAGTTTATTCCGTCGTACACAGTTGCGCTGGATAGCGACAACAAAATACAGGCACAGATTAATAATCTACCCCGGCAATACAAGGTACGAGTAGTTCCACCGAGCTACACTCAACTCACATAAAACAATCACCCAAGGACAAGGGGGCAGAGGGAACACTTATACACGGACTAATGAGGGGATATGAACCAGGTGTGTGTAATTAACACGACAAGACAAATGGAATGATGATATATGGAGCAGTAGTGGCTAGTAAGCCGGTGACGACGAACGCCGAAGCCTGCCCGAACAAGGAGGGGAGGCAGCCTCGGCAGAAGTCGTGACAGAACTATTAATAATTTGAAGTTGTACTCTGTTTGTAGTCTGTGATTCAGTGTAGTTTAGTGCCTTGATGTTATCTGGAGTCTTGCTGTTTCACTCTAATTGGGTTATGTGGAGTTGGAGGCTGGGCTGACAGATTGTATAGAAGAGATTGACTGAGAGTGAATGATAAGTCACACCTTCAGTCACAGTTGGATGTTTCAGATAGACTTGTGTCTGTTTCTCAGCTCTTGGACATGCATCATGTATGATGTCCCTCTGTCTAAACAAGTGCTTCATGTTTGGACACACCAGTGTGTCACTGTACAGTACAGTTCTGGGTGGTGGTGTGTACAGTATGTGTGTGTACGTGTACTTGAGTGTGTTTGTGTATACGTGAGTGTGTGTGTGTGTGCATGCATGCGTGTGTGTTTGCGCCTGTCCGATGTTATTCCAAAACTCCTTATCTCCTGTCTATCTCTTTCACAGTAGCTGTCTTATTTAGATGTAGTTCATTGAGAGGGTGCTAAATCACAATCATACTGTTGCTAGGTGTGTGTGTGTATACGTGTGTGTGTGTGTTTGTGTGTGCGCGCGCATGTGTGTGTGTGTGTGAAGTTCTATCAGCAGCCTCAGACGTGGTCCTGTTCTCTGACTGTCCTCACCCTTCCCTGAAATAACTATTTTGGGAAAAGTTTCAGATACCATCTCTCCTGTCTTTTACCTGGCTCTCTGAGTGAATGGCATGGAGGAGAGAGGAGGAGGTGGTGATGGGAGGGGAGGAGAAGAGAGGAGAGGAGGAGGAGGCAGGAGAAAGTGCCACAGAACAGTCTGTTGAGACTCATCCATATGGCTGTCATGCCTTTTCAGATTTCATGCTAAATTGAACATAGGACAGCACAGCCTTCACCTGTTACCTCCCCTCTATAGAATACATCAGACACTACACGTCTTTGACCTTTCACCTCTATTGAGAATGGTCAACCAAGACAAAATCCGACTAAGAGGGAGGCTGTCTAAAAGCTAGAACTCATGATTACAGACTGCCATTCCAGTCTGCCCTGTCCAGTCAGCCACTGGCTGCCAACCACAGCCCAAAACAACATGGCGGAACTAATGACTGGCTGCCCCAGTGCTGCTATGCATTGTGTGTATGCCAGGATCTCTGTGTGCATGATGTTTTCCTTTTAAAGATCAAACAGCCGCTCACTTATCTGATTATTTCTCCTTTTCCTGCCACTTTCAAGTAGATGGTTGGAGTACTCCAAGTAGGAGGACTGTGCACAGCTACTGTACATGTCACCTATGTTTGGGGTTCCCTTTCATCTCTGTACTCTTACAATATGGCAGTTTTGTGAATAGGGAATGTGATTAAATTCACCCGTTTCTCTGTGGAACAGTTGGGCTGAGAGAGGAAATAAGGCAGGTTGATGTCCACATATCTCTGGTTCTGCCTGTCATGATTCCGACACTCCAACACTAGACTCAGTATTACCTGACAGCTAGTTGGAAAGAGATGGGAACATAGTGGGGGCATGGCTGAGTTTAATAGGTCCCTACTGCAGGGATGTTCAGGAGGAGAATTCCCTCTGCGGGATCTATTTTTCAGCAGTTTTTTCTCTTTCTTTCTCTCTCTTTCTCTCTCTCTCTCTCTCGATCTCTGTCGCTCTCTCTCTCCCACTTTCTGCCTCTTTCTCTTCCATATTTTTAGGGAGTAATTGAAATACATAGGGAATATGAGCGTATTTAAATGAAATCTGTTAATATTGCATGACTTTTCATTTCATTGTGTGCATTAGTGTATTCTCATTTGCTTCTCCTAGCATTTCTAAGCTTCTTTGAATTGACTTGTATCAGAGCTTGGCCTTTCTCTGGAAGAGACACTCCACTGAGCCAGTTTGTAACCCTGCAGCTTGCATCTCTCTGTACATTAGATTTATCACCAGATCACCAGATTAGCCTCTGTCTGTCACATCTGTGAATAGGCTCCATTGCCTTATACCATAGGCTAGATTTTTGCGTTTGTTGAGTCTGGTGAAGTTGTATTAATGGGCAAATGAATCTTAATTTTTTTAATCAAAAGCACATCTTTGAATGAAGGGTATTTTGTCAACAGGAATGTATGGAAACGTACATACAGTGAAATGTTTCTAATATTTAGTTGAGGGCTACAATATGGTATTCATCAGATGGTTTAACATTCTCTGTAGCCTCCGTCCCCCATCCTCCCTCTATCTCCTTTTATCTCTCTGTCGCTCTCACCAGCTCTCTCTCTCTTTCTCTTTGAAGGGCCCAGTCAAGGGGTGTAAATAGCTTTTTGTTATCTCAGGGAGAAGTCACATTGAGTGGAAACAGAGACATCTCCCTCCTCCATTCTTTAGATAATGACACATGGAAAATTCTGGGCTTAAACAAAGGATATTTATTTGGTCTGTTGTGTGAAAATGATTGATCAAATCTACAGTGGGGTCTGAAATTATTGTCACCCTTGATAAAGATGAGCAAAAATTACTGTATAAAATAAATAATTCAAATACTTGTATGCAAAAATATTTTGGGAAATTGTATTATTTTATAATACTAATACAATTGCTCAAAAGAGATTTTGTTTAACAAGTAATATATATTTTTCTCTCAAAAAGGTAGGGGTCAAAATTATTAACACCCCTGTTTTCAATACCTTTTAATACCTCACCTTGCAAGGATAACGGCACAGAGCCTGAGTTGGAGAACACACTGGGAGGGATCTTAGACCGTTCATCCATACAGAATCCTTCCAGATCCTTGATATCCTTCGTCTGCGCTTATGGACTGCCTTCTTCAATTCAAACCACAGGTTTTCAATAGGTTTCACATCCGGAGACTGAGATGGCCATTGCAAAATGTTGATTTTGTGGCCAATTAGCAATTTCTTTGTAGATTTTGGCGTGTGCTCGGGGTTATTGTCTTGCTGAAAGATCCACTTGCAGCCAAGTTTCAGCCTCCTGGCAGAGGCAACCAGGTTTTGGCTAAAATGTCCTGGTACTGGGTAAAGTTCATGATGCCGTTGACCTTAACAAGAGCCCCAGCACCAGTGGAAGCAAAATAGCCCCATAACATCAAAGATCCACCACCATATTTTACAGTAGGTATAGGGTTCTATTCTGCTCATCCATTCTCATTTCGACGCCAAACCCACCATTGGTGTGCATGGCCAAAGAACTCTATTTTCATGTCATCCAACAAATGTAAACGCCTGCTAAATGGCATTGGCACTTGGATTGGAACCCATGCTTTGGTCAGATGACATGAAAATGAAGCTCTTTGGCCACTCACACCAGTGTTGTACCCCTTTTCTTATCTAACACCATTGCTCAGCAGCTTGGAAATTACTTGTGTTATTTACATTTGTTGGACATTGTTTTTTTCACACCTTTTCCAATAAACATTCAGAAAGTATTCACACCCCTTTACTTTTTCCACATTTTGGTATGTAACAGCCTGAATTTAAAATGGATTAAATTCATGTTATTGGTTTGCTGGATAGCCAGAGCCCAATGAGCCCTGGTCAAAAGTAGTGCACTATATAGGGAATAGGGTGCCATTTGGGACGCACCCCTGGTGTTGTGTGGTAAGGAGCAGGTACTGTAATTTATTTTACATTTACGTTTTAGTCATTTAGCAGATGCTCATAGTGGCAACAGTTGTTGAATGCAGCTGGAGCAGTGGCCTGCAGACGGTGCCAACCTCCCTCCCTCCATCCCATCCACCCCTCCATCCCTTATTTCTCGCTTTGTCCTATAGCTAAATTTAGTCTATCACATGTTGATATAGGTCAACTGTGGACAAGCCTGTATTTATTCCCATCCTTCTCACTGCTCCTCAAATCAAGGAGACATTAGTAAATAGGGCAGAAAATATGTCTCTATAGTGCTGACTGCCGAGCAGCACTCCAGTGCTGAGAGTTAAGTGCGTGTGTGCTTGTTAATGTGTGTGTGTGCGCGTGTGCGAGCCATCATGTCTCAGTTTGTGAGAGCTGCATGTCTGTGAGCTGATGGAGCATGACCGTGAGGAAGGAGAAGATGTGTGTGTGTCAGAAGTCTGTCTTTCCTTCTCCCTCTGTTCTAATGAAACACAGCTCATTCAGGAGACAAGCCTGTACTGCAGAAAGAAATGAATTCATTTCTCCAATACATTCAGAAGATAGAATGAGAAACAACTTTTCTTGGCTGTCATTATCCTTACAACATTTTGGCAATACATTTCAGTGTTCTATTCAGCTGTAGCCTACATGTCCGTTTCCTGACCTACTATTAAACAACGTTTAAATGTTGTTGTGGTACAATGGTGACTAATGGAAACTGCAATACAAATGTTAGTATTGTGGTCAGTGGTAACCTAATTTCAACATTCTCTCTCTCTCCCTCCCCACATTGTCCCTCCCCTCCCCCTCTCGCCTCTATCTCTCTCAGTTCTTTGCATCCAGGCAGCATCCATCCAGTTCACCAAGGAGCCCAAATCCCAGGATGCATTGCATGGCCGCAGTGCCATGCTCCGCTGTGAGGTCAGCGACCCGGCAGACATTCAGTATGGCTGGCTACACAACGGTCAACCCCTGAACAACACCGAGAGGCGCTTCCGCGAGGTCAGCAACCTCAAGTTCACGGCGGTGGACCGGAGAGTGGACGCTGGGAACTTTGAGTGCGTGGCCTCCAACACGGTCACGGGAGAGGAGGCCCACTCCACTAACGCCTCTTTCAACATCAAGTGTGAGTGTTAATACATGTCCCATACACTTGGGGTTGTGTTCCTTGAGGTGCAACGTTCAGAATAGATGTTAAATGCAGATCAAAATTGAATGAATAGAGTTGACATGATGCCCAGTTCATCATGACAGAAAATAATATCTGTTACATAAAAGGCATTTTTTAACCTTAACCATGCGCTGAATATGTGCAAGATTTTCCTCATGGTGCCGTACCAAGGCCCTACAACCCACAAGTTTCAGACATGCAACACAGGTGGATCGTTGTGTCTCAGAGCAATCTACCTAAATTAAAAAGCCACATAAAAGCCTCAGTATAGAATATCAGGTAAGGATGTACGAGATTAGATTTTTTTTCGATACCTTGTAGGCACCTTGTTCTTTGTTGCTACCCTCCCATTCAAAAGGAAACTTGATATGTGCGCCACCAAGCATGTGTTTCTTGTTTCTTTTCTCCGTTGTGTAACACTCACTTTTCCCACATCCCCTCAAAAGGCTTTTGCGTGTCGAAATGACTAAAGAGTTAAACTCCCCTTACAGCCATATCATTATTTACGTTCTAGATTAAGTGTCTTGTTTCGAGATCTTATTCATTCATGATGTTTTTCTCAACCGCCCCCAAAACCCAAATCCTTTGCCGTTGAAGGCCTCTTAGTACTCAGAGATCTCTTACTAAATCAAATCAAAGTTTATTGGTCGTGGACACAGATTTGCAGATATTATCACAGGTACAGCGGAATGCTTGTGTTTCTAGCTCCAACAGTGCAGTAATAATACCTAGCAATACAAAACAATACACACATAATCCAAAAAGTAAAGAGAAAGAAATGAAGAAATATCAGAACGAGCAATATACTGTGCATTTCCACATTTTGTTACATTTCAGCCTTATAAAAAAAAAAAAAATACATTAATTATTTTCATCATCAATCTACACACAATACCCAATAATGACAAAGCAACAACAGGTTTTTAGAAATGTTTGCAAATGTATTAAAAATAAAAAACAGATACCTTATTTACATAAGTATTCAGACCCTTTTCTATGAGACTCAAAATTGAGCTCAGGTCCATCCTGTTTCCATTGATCATCCTTGAGATGTTTCTAAAATTTGATTGGAGTCCACCTGTGGTAAATTCAATTGATTGGATATGATTTGGAAAGGCACACACCTGTCTATATAAGGTCACAAGATTGACAGTGCATGTCAGAGCAAAAACCAAGCCATAAGGTCGAAGGAATTGTCTGTAGAGCTCCGAGACAGGATTGTGTCGAGGCACATATCTGGGGAAGGGTATGAGGGAAAGATGAATGGAGCACACAGGACCTCAGACTGGGGGCGAAGGTTCACCTTCCAACAGGACAAAGACCCTAAGCACACAACCCAGGAGTGGCTTCAGGACAAGTCTCGGAATGTCCTTGAGTGGCCCATTCTTCTCTGCAGATCCTCAAGCTCTGTCAGGTTGGATGGGGAGCGTCGTTGCACAGCTATTTCCAGGTCTCTCCGGAGATGTTCGATTGGGTTCAAGTCCGGGCTCTGGCTGGGCCACTCAAGGACATTCAGAGACGTGTCCTGAAGCTACTCCTGCGTTGTCATGGCTGTGTGCTTAGGGTCAATGTCCTGTTGGAAGGTGAACCTTCGCCCCAGTCTGAGGTCCTGAGCGCTCTGGAGCAGGTTTTCATCAAGGATATCTCTGTACTTTGCTCCGTTCATCTTTCCCTCGATCCTGACTATTATCCCAGTCCCTGCCGCTGAAAAACATCCCCACAGCATGATGCTGCCACTACCATGATTCACCGTAGGGATGGTTCCAGGTTTCCTCCAGACGTGATGCTTGGCATTCAGGCCAAAGAGTTCAATCTTGATTTCATCAGACCAGATAATCTTGTTTCTCATGGTCTGAGAGTCCTTTAGGTGCCTTTTGGCAAACTCCAAGCGGGCTGTCATGTTCCTTTTACTGAGGAGTGGCTTCTGTCTGGCCACTGTACCATAAAGGCCTGATTGGTGGAGTGCTGCAGAGATGGTTGTCCTTCTGGAAGGTTCTCCCATCTCCACAGAGGAACTCTTGAGCTCTGTCAGAGTGACCATTGGGTTCTTGGTCACCTCCCTGACCAAGGCCCTTCTCCCCCGATTGCTCAGTTTAGCCTGGCGGCCAGCTCTAGGAAGAGTCTTGGTGATTCCAAACTTCTTCCATTTAAGAATGATGGAGGCCACTGTGTTCTTGGGGACCTTCAATGTCTGCAGACAATTTTTGGTACCCTTCCCCAGATCTGTGCCTCGACACAATCCTGTCTCGGAGCTCTACAGACAATTCCTTCGACCTCATGGCTTCGTTTTTGTTCTGACATGCACTGTCAACTGTGGGACCTTATGTAGATAGGTGTGTGCCTTTCCAAATCATGTCCAATCAATTGAATTTGCCACAGGTGGACTCCAATCAAGTTGTAAAAACATCTCAAGGATGATCAATGGAAACAGGATGCACCTGAGCTCAATTTCGAGTCTCATAGCAAAGGGTCTGAATACTTAAGTAAATGAGGTATTTCTATTTAATTATTTTAATAAATGTGCAAAAATTTATAAAAACCAGTTTTCACTTCGTCATTATGGAGTGTTGTGTGTAGATTGATGAGGAAATACATTAATTTAATCAATTTTAGAATAAGGCTGTAATGTAACAAAATGTGGAAAAAGTCAAGGGGTCTGAATACTTTCCGAATGCACTGATAGATATATATATATATATATATATATATATATATATATATATATATATATATATATATATATATATATATATATATATACATATACACACACACACACATACACTATCAGTCAAAAGTTTGGACACTCATTCCAGGGTTTTTCTTTATTTTTTTATTATTTTCTACATTGTAGAATAATAGTGAAGACATCAAAACTATGAAACGACATAGTGGTTAGTACTTGATTCCATATGTGTTATTTCATAGTTTTGATGTCTTCACTATTATTCTACAATGTAGAAAATAATAAAAAAATTAAGAAAAACCCTGGAATGAGTAGGTGTGTCCAAACTTTTGACTGGTACTGTACATATTACCTCAATTACCTGGACTAACCTGTGCCCCCGCACATTGACTCTGTACCGGTACCCCCTGTATATGTATGTGTGTGTGTGTATATATATATATATATATATATATATATATATATATATAAAATGGCACCCCAATGGTGGAACAAGCTCCGCCAGGACAGCGGAGTCACTGACCACCTTCCAGAGACACTTGAAACCCTACCTCTTTAAAGAATACCTGGAATAGTATAAAGTAATCCTTCTACCCCCCCTCCCCCACCCCCCCATAAAAATTTAATAAAAAAATAAAGAAGAAAAAAAGTGGTTGTCCCACTGGCTATCATAAATTGAATGCACAAATTTGTAAGTCGCTCTGGATAAGAGCGTCTGCTAAATGATGTAAATGTAAATATATATATATATATATATATATATATATATATATACATACAGTGAGGGAAAAAAGTATTTGATCCCCTGCTGATTTTGTACGTTTGCCCACTGACAAAGAAATTATCAGTCTATAATTTTAATGGTAGGTTTATTTGAACAGTGAGAGACAGAATAACAACAAAACAATCCAGAAAAACGCATGTCAAAAATGTTATAAATTGATTTGCATTTTAATGAGGGAAATAAGTATTTGACCCCCTCTCAATCAGAAAGTTTTCTGCCTCCCAGGTGTCTTTTATACAGGTAACGAGCTGAGATTAGGAGCACACTCTTAAAGGGAGTGCTCCTAATCTCAGCTTGTTACCTGTATAAAAGACACCTGTCCACAGAAGCAATCAGTCAGATTCCAAACTCTCCACCATGGCCAAGACCAAAGAGCTCTCCAAGGATGTCAAGGACAAGATTGTAGACCTACACAAGGCTGGAATGGGCTACAAGACCATCGCCAAGCAGCTTGGTGAGAAGGTGACAACAGTTGGTGCGATTATTCGCAAATGGAAGAAACACAAAATAACTGTCAATCTCCCTCGGCCTGGGGCTCCATGCAAGATCTCACCTCGTGGAGTTGCAATGATCATGAGAATGGTGAGGAATCAGCCCAGAACTACACGGGAGGCTCTTGTCAATGATCTCAAGGCAGCTGGGACCATAGTCACCAAGAAAACAATTGGTAACACACTACGCCCTGAAGGACTGAAATCCTGCAGTGCCCGCAAGGTCCCACTGCTCAAGAAAGCACATATACATGCCTGTCTGAAGTTTGCCAATGAACATCTGAATGATTCAGAGGAGAACTGGGTGAAAGTGTTGTGGTCAGATGAGACCAAAATGGAGCTCTTTGGCATCAACTCAACTCGCCGTGTTTGGAGGAGGAGGAATGCTGCCTATGACCCCAAGAACACCATCCCCACCGTCAAACATGGAGCTGGAAACATTATGCTTTTGGGGTGTTTTTCTGCTAAGGGGACAGGACAACTTCACCGCATCAAAGGGACGATGGACGGGGCCATGTACCGTCAAATCTTGGGTGAGAACCTCCTTCCCTCAGCCAGGGCATTGAAAATGAGTCGTGGATGGGTATTCCAGCATGACAATGACCCAAAACACACGGCCAAGGCAACAAAGGAGTGGCTCAAGAAGAAGCACATTAAGGTCCTGGAGTGGCCTAGCCAGTCTCCAGACCTTAATCCCATAGAAAATCTGTGGAGGGAGCTGAAGTTTCAAGTTGCCAAACGTCAGCCTCAAAACTTTAATGACTTGGAGAAGATCTGCATAGAGGAGTGGGACAAAATCCCTCCTGAGATGTGTGTAAACCTGGTGGCCAACTACAAGAAACGTCTGACCTCTGTGATTGCCAACAAGGGTTTTGCCACCAAGTACTAAGTCATGTTTTGCAGAGGGGTCAAATACGTATTACCCTCATTAAAATGCAAATCAAATTATAACATTTTTGACATGGGTTTTTCTGGATTTTTTTTTGTTATTCTGTCTCTCACTGT